AGGCTAAAAAGGTTGTTGCCATTTTTAGTCTGAAACGACCAGGGATAGGCCCTGGACTTCAGGCTTTTGGCCTGAACCGACAGGGGGCCTGTAAGCCCTGGATTTCAGGCTTTCAGCCCGAAATTCAGGCTTTCGGCCTGAAGTTCAGGCTCTTGGCCTGAACGCTGTCGGACCTGCAAAATGGCCCGTGTGTGCATGCGCTGCATGTAACACCCCCCCCTCCTTATGAAGTCAAGCCGGGGCGAGGGCGAAGCCGTCGATCTGAAGGTGGAACCTGGATGCGGGCGCGGCGTGGAGCCGAAGAAACCGGCTTGCCCTGCATCTTGCGTTCGTAGCGTGCGAGAACGTCTGGAGCTGTCGCTTGAAGTTCCGCACGGGTTAACCAACGGTCAACTTGATGTGTGCAGTAGGCAAAATGCACCAACTACTCAGTTGGCTTGTTGCCAAAGTGTCGCTGGGAGATGATGTCGCCGACCTCCTGAAAACCATCCATAGAAGGTGGGTCTTGCGTCCGTCTCCCGGGAAAGTCGTCATGATCCGCTGGCGTGTAGAGAGCCAGTTCGGAGCAATGAAAGATTGGGTAGATAGGCAAGTGGCTAGGCACCTGAATCGTGAAGGAGGGTCCTTCCGGTGCGTCCCCAGCGGGCTCKATGATCGGCCAAGGCCCCATCCATTTTCGGAAGGAGCTTGCGAGAGACGTCTTGTTCAAGGCTGAATTCCGCTGCTAAAACCCAGACAAGGTCTCCGGCGCGGAATGGACATGGAAGACGCTGTCGATTTGCCTGTTGGTGCATGCGCTGTTGCGTCTTAGCCATCTGGTCGCGTGCCTTGACAAGAAGCTCTTGCATCCGCCGCAAGAAAAGGAGATGGTCGTCGCTCTCGGCCGTGCGTGGAGTAATCGTGTCCAACGGTGACGTGACCGGCGAGCTGTGCTCGAACTCGAAGGGCAATATCCCAATAGTCGGGTGGATGGAAGAGTTGTAGGCCAACTCAACGTCCGGCAGTCGCTCAACCCAGTCTTTCTGGTCGGGGCGGATGAGAGTGCGAAGGAGAACCTGTGCGGTCTGATGCACTCTCTCCGTCTGACCATCGGTTTGAGGGTGGCGAGCTGAACTGGGCTTGAGAGATGAGCCCCATCGTTTGATGAGCGCCAACAAAAAATCGAACATGAACCGAGTGTCGCGGTCGCAAACGATCTCCTTGGGGTAACCCTTGGTGCGAATCCAACCGGCGTACAGAACCTCGGCCAACTTCGGTGCCTTGGCATGATAGCGACAAGGCAAAAACATGGCGAACTTGGTGAGTCGGTCGACCACCGTGAGAATCCCATCCACTCCGGTCTTGTGCTTGGGGAACGGGCCGGTGATGTCCATGGCAATCGCTTTCCTTCGCCTCAATGGGACTGGCAATGGTCGTAGCTCACCGTACGGACGATGGTTGCGAGATTTGCAGCGTCGGCAAACCTCGTATGACTCGCAAAAACGCGTGACGTCACCGAGAAGGCCGGACCACCAAAATCGCTGGCGAAGTCGGCCAATCGTGCGATTGACTCCAAAATGTCCGGTGGCGGGAGCGTCGTGGAACTCGCCAAGAAGCCGTGTACGCAAATGAGGATCACTTGGTACGCAAAGAAGGTCCTTCCCCCGCGTGTGGACAAGCAAGTACCCCTCCTGGATCCGGTAGTGAGAAGGAGCCGAATTAGGCGAGGAGCAATTCGCGTACTTGTCGCAAAACTCGGGGTCGGCTTGGATACCGCGGATGAAGCTGTTCTAGGGTCATCGTCAATCTCGAAAGTCGAGTAGAGTGCGGTACAGTGATCCGGACGCCGTAAAAAAGCATCCGCAAAACGGTTCGACTTCCCGGGAATGTGATCGGGAAAGAAGTCGAACTGGTCGATGAAAGCCATCCATCAAGCGATGGTGCTGTTGACGGTGTCTTGGGTCTTGTAGAAGACCAACGGATTGTTGTCCGTTACCCAGCGAAATTGGCTTCGACCAAGGAGGAAGTGCCGCCACCGCTTGAGCGCGTGGACGAAGGCGAGGAGCTCCTTCTTGCTTTCATTGTCAATGGAATGCACGAGTGGCACTTTCTTGCTGAAGTACTCGACCGGGTGCCAGTCCACACCATCATGTTGCTCGAGGACTGCACCAATGCCATAGTCTGACGTATCCGTAGTGACACGTGTAGGTGCGAGCGGGTCGTATATCCGCAAGACCTCCGCAGACAATAGCACGGCTTTGAGAGCGAGGAATGATCCCCGCGCCTCCTCTCCAAAGTCAAACGGCCGATCCTCGTACTGAAGCTTGTTCAAGTGGGCCGCGATCTTGGAGTAGCCTTTGATGAAGCGCTGATAGTAGCCGGTAAGACCGAGGAACGAGCGGACATCCGTGACGTTCCGAGGCTCCGGCCACTCTTGGACGGCCTGAATCTTGTCCGATAGCGGACTGATGCCCTCCGGTGTGACAAAATGGCCCAAGTATTCCAGCTCTTGCCGGACAAATTCGCACTTGTCGAGGTTGGCCTTGTACTTGGCACGACGGAGCGTCTCCAACACTCGTCGAAGATGTCCAAGATGATCCTCCAATGTCCGGCTGTAGACGAGAATATCGTCTRAGTAGACYAGCACGAACCGGTCCAACATTGCACGGAACTCATTGGTCATCGCCGCCTGGAATGTCGCCGGGGCGTTGGTGAGGCCAAAAGGCATGACCACCCACTCAAAATGCCCGTACCGCGTCTTGAATGAGGTTTTATAGCGATCATTCGGCTGAATCGAGATTTGATGATATCCTGATTTCAAATCCAACTTGGAAAAATACTTGGCACCGCCCAGCCGCTCGACAAGATCGTCGATGCGAGGAAGAGGCCCCGCATTCTTGACGGTTTGCGCATTGAGCTTGCGGAAGTCGATGCACAACCGTAGATCCTTGTTCTTCTTCCCGACGAAGAGAACTGGTACTCCATATGGGGAGCTACTCGGGCGGATCCAGCCCTTGGCCAACAAATCATCGAGTTGTGCGTGGAGTACCTCAAGCTCCTCCTCGCTTATCAGATAGATGCAACCTTTCGGCGGCACGGCACCGGCCTCAAGAATGATCTCGTGAGAGATCGGCCGACCCGACACCACACCGGTAGGTGACTCGAAGATGTCGGCGAACTCGTCCAGCAACCGTACCACACGGGGGTCCGAAGACAAGTCCGTGGGTGAAGAGTCGGCTACCACGACGGTCCGTAGGAAACATATGTCGATCTCCTTGGGCTGCTCGTAAGCACAAGTCGCCCGGAATGATGTGGCCGTCACCACTTGACACCGGATCAAAGAGTGCGGTAGAGGAATCGTACACGCCACTTCCACGCCGAAGGCGTCGCGAACGCTAAGAGTCCGCCGATGGAAGTTGACCGTGTGATCCGCACTTGCAAGCCAAGGCATTCCCAAAATGATGTCGAAGTCCGTGTCGAGAATATCGAATGTCACCAGTTCGCATGCATGAGGTGCGAAGTAGACCGGTACAGCCTCGATGTGACGATCGAGTAGTTGCTGAGTCTTTCCATCCGCCAACTTGATTGCCGTCGGGTTTGCCTTTCTCCGAACTTGTGCGCCAAGACCATCTCTTTGCATAAAAGACTGGCTCATGAAGTTGCGAGTCGCACCGCTATCCAGCAAAGCGCTGCAGGACGCTTGCCCAACCTTGATGCGGACATACATGAGCGGTGCATTGTTGTTATCGTACCGCTGCGTGCGAAACTCGCGGGCCACCTTGGTAACATACGCCAGGATGTCCCCGACCGCGACGTCGTCATGCGTCGGCAAAGTTGGTGGTGCATAGAAGGAAAGGTAAGTGTGGAGATAAGCGCTAAGTGTTGCGCATTGCGGTCCCGGCAAACAGCCTGTGGTCGGGAGAGGAAGCCATGCAAAGTCCTCAGACGTGAGCGGGTCCAAAACCTCTATCTTGAACTTGCGCGCCGAATCCCGTGACGAACCACTTGAAGACGATATGTCGTTGTTGCCGGACGGAGAAGAAACCGCACACACTCCTTGTCCTTGAGCTTGAGTACCCAGCGTTGGAACGAGCCGGGCAGGATAGTCCTCAAAAGAAAATAGAAACGGAGGACTGCCGACTTCCGCGTGCGCCTCGGAATGAAGGCTGGTCACTCGCGAAGAAACCAGATCCGAAGACGTCGAGAATGTCGTCGCATCACTCTCGGCGGTGCTCAGTTTCCCTGTCGACCCTTGCCCTTCAGTGGGCAAACCGGCGTCAGATGAAGATCGCTGTTGCACCACAGGCAATAATGGAATCTCTCTTGCGCCTTGTAGGCGGACTCTGAGAGGCCATACAGGGTCCATGGGCCTGTCTGAGCTGCTGCACCGGGCCCGGGGCTAGAAACGGTGTGTGTCTTCAGCTTGCCGCGCCCTCGGCCTCTGCCGGCGCGGCCACCTTCTCGGGCGGCTGCGAATCTGTCTCCTTCACTGGCAGACGCAGCCTCGCTGGTTTGGTCTAACGGCGCTGCCGCTGCGACCACGGCCACTCGTGGCCGATGCTGGTTCCCGCTCGGGCCTGACGCAGAAGAACAGAGGTTCTTGGCCTCCTTGTTCGTAACGATGATCTGCGCAGCCTTGTCGAATAGTTCCGCTGTCGTCGTCAAGGTGTCCTCGACATGCGCCAGGGCATTGCTCAATGCCGGACATGACCTTGAGATGAAATAGTGGCGGATGGCCTTGAAGCCCATCTGGATGTCTGGGACTGACGTCAAGCGTTGGTACTCGGCGATCCAGTCCGTACTTGGCAGCGAGCCTTGCTCGAAGACCATAAGCTTGTCCATGGCTTTGATCTCTGGCGGCTCCACCTGGAACCGCTTGTGCCACGCCGCCTTCAGATCATCCCAGCTGATCATGGTGTGCTAGTCCGCTGCTACCACTCCGTACTTGGACAACAAGTTGTCCAACCATGCCTGACACGCGCCCCCTGAGCGAGAGTACAAGTAAGCGTGGTGCTTGTTTTCCTTGACGTTGTGGAGCTGCAGCGTGAGCTCAAACTTGCGAAATCATGGAATTGGATCTGTCTTGATTGAGTCGTGGAAGATCTCCTGCCCATCGAACTTCGGAGCTGTCTCGCGCGGCTCCGGACTCGAGGTGGTGGCGGTAGTGCAGATGCGCCGCTGCAATTGTGGCGTCGCGGTCTGCTGTAACTGTGCGCCATCCTGGAGGGAGCCGACGTGCATCTCCAATGCGGTGAGGCGGTTGACAGTATTGGAAGAGCCTGCGTCGGCGGCGGCGACTGGTCGCTGCTCCACCCGCTGAAGACCGTCTTGGAGCTGAGCTACCGAGTTGTCGACACCGCTTGTGCCACGCCGCCTTCAACTCATCCCAGCTGATCATGGTGTGCAAGTCCGCTGCCACCACTCCGTACTTGGACAACAAGTTGTCCAACCACGCCTGACTCGCGCCCCCTGAGCGAGAGTACAAGTAAGCGTGGTGCTTGTTTTCCTTGATGTTGTGGAGCTGCATCGTGAGCTCAAACTTGCGAAACCATGGAATCGGATTTGTCTTGATTGAGTAGTGGAAGATATCCTGCCCATCGAACTTAGGAGCTGTCTCGCGCGGCTCCGGACTCGAGGTGGTGGCGGTAGTGCAGATCCGCTGCTGCAATTGTTGCGTCGCGGTCTGCTGTAACCGTGCGCCATCCTGGAGGGAGCCAACGCGCATCTCCAATGCGGTGAGGCGGTCGGCAGTATTGGAAGAGCCTGCGTCGGCGGCGGCGACTGGTCGCTGCTCCACCCGCTGAAGGCGGTCTTGGAGCTGAGCTACCGAGTTGTCGAGACCAAGGATCTCCGCGTGCTGTGTAATGCAGGTTGCTAGTAGATCCGTGAGATGCGAGAGGAGCGCTATCTTGTTTGCGCTGTCCTCCAACTGGTTGTTCTCGGCTTCACTTCGCCATTCTGCTGCCATGGTAAGTAACGCCCGCTCTCCGATGAATATCTTCTCACGACGCTGTGTTCTTTCTTCATCAGCAGCCCTTGCTGCTGCCTCGTCGTGCTGGCGCTGTTGTTGCACGGCCAACAGACGTGCCTGTTCGGCATCCTCTGCCCTTTTCTTGGCTGCTGCGGCAGCGTCATCTGCCCGCTTCTTTGTCTCGGTACTCCAGGCTAACATGCGGGCCTGATAGGCCTCGTCTGTTTCCCCGGCCTTCTCGCCCATGACTGCTGTCTGTGAACGCAACAGCATAGACCAGACCGGTGCCTGCTGATGTGGTATCCCTTGCTGCTGACGTGGCAATGCTGACGTGGCAATGCTGACGTGGCCTGCTGACGTGGCCTGCTGACGTGGTCTGCTGACGTACTTACGTAGCCTGCTGACGTGGTCTGCTGACGTGGCCTGCTGACGTGGCAACTTACCAATGCCGTCACAAGGGGTACCCGGAGACAACCAGAAATGGCAAGGCGAGAGATGGCAACAACGTAGGTGGGGAGGGGTGGGTGGGATAATCGCCCAACTCACACTTAGATAAGGAGCCACTAATCAAACCAGAAAAGTTTAAACTTCGCAACAAAAATTTCGAGAAACTAAAAAAAAAAAAAAAATCCCGATTTTTGCAAGTTCGGTAGGTCCCCAATCTCCCTTGAAGTACGAAATGATCTCTGAAAGCGAAAAAAATTTCGACTTTAGACTGCAACCGATTTATTGAACCAACTGACAGAATCCAAGAACTGTGAAAAAAGTCCGAACATAAATGACAACTATTCGGATTTTTTCCGATGGGAATATTCGCAGTTTGAAAAAAATAATACGTGCAGGAGGTATTTCCCTTACCGTTTTCAGAAAAACGAATTTCCGACAAGAAGATATTCCGAAGTTCTAAGGACGGGAAATGCAACAGAAAATCAAAACTTTCAAAAAGAAATATATTCCGGATTTTTAACAACGAAATTTCGAATTTTCAGAAAGAAAAACGAAAATAGGAATTTCAGATGTTGCGATATAGCAGAAAATAAAATCCGAGAAAAGAAAAAAAATTCGATTTATTTTTTTTGTAGTAAGGTCAARATCGTGATTTTGGGGTCTAACTAGTATGTCCTAATCAACAGAAAAGACTAACTAGCTTTCTTGATCCCCGCACACGTGTCAGATCAGATAGTCCTGATTCACGTGCAAAAGCTCCGATACCAACTGTTACATGCACAGATATGCAATGTACGTAATAAACCGAGAATCTGCAATGTGATGAAAAGGACTGAATAGACAATACGCTATGAGTAGAATCTCGACAAGCAATGTACATTCTCATTCATACATAAAGATGCTGAAGAGCGCAGGGAAGACTTTGATACAAAGACTGACCTGACAGGACTGACCTCATTCACGTAGTTCAGAGTAACGAAGCAGAATGCTAGAGTACCTCTAACTAGCCCAATCAATGTTTGAACTCAGACTAACATGCATTGTATCCATCACGAAGTGTGAAGGAGCCTGGCGCTGCACACAGGAAGAAAACGCCAGGTCCAGACATACACAGACAAAGAGATAAGGGGCAGAGGAAAGGAGGGAAGAAGATGGGAATGTCGTTAACACCAAGTCTTGGTCACCAATCCCAAATAGTCCCTCGTTGCCATG